TATCATCATTTTATTTATCCATTACTCCATCAACATATATTCTTAAGATGAACACTGAATGCAGCTCCTAAAAGAGAAGATAATTCCCCTTCCAACATATATAACTTAAGCCTATTTTGTAACCAGTAGAGTCACTTTGCCTTTGAACAAGGAAAAGGAAGATTTAGTCACTCCTTTTCCTCAAATGTTTGTTTGGATGCCTACACAGACCTCCCAAAAAATTTACTATTTTTTTGCCTCTCACTTTCTTTAATCACTGTATTTAATGTAAATATAATGGTATAAATGCATTAGGTTTGTAATAATATCTCATTTTTCTTTCTATGGTACACTTGCTTGAGCTCCTCTTTTTATTGAATCACTCAGATTGCTGGAGGCACAGGAATTACTCCTATGCTTCAGATAATTGAAGCTATATTGAAGAATCCTGATGACAAAACTCAGGTAGGTGGTAAACTTCTCTGCTTTGCATTCCCTCCATATGTAGTTTGCCTTTCTCTACCCTTCTCTTAATTATGTTATAAAACATAGTAAGGTATGAACAGTTCTTGTTTTAATTTATTAAAACTGTTTGGGAAGCTTAATTCATATTACTGGTTGTGTACTGTCATTTTGTTTATTGTGCATATCGAGTATTTTGAATTTTTTTAAACTAATTTATTTCTGACAAACATAAGAATATCACAGCTTATAGTGGTCTTTTACATGTGCAGATATCATTACTTTATGCTAATGTCTCCCCGGATGACATACTACTTAAACAAAAGCTTGACGTTCTAGCAACAAGCCACCCAAATTTAAAGGTAAAAATCTTGTTTGGCAAAGATAATATTATTAACCAATATTACAAACAAATCAATTGAAAGCATTTTTTTGATCAAATTTGCAGATATTCTACACTGTTGATAATCCAACAAAAAATTGGAGAGGTGGTGCAGGTTACATATCAAAGGATATGGTTGTGAAAGGCTTACCCGGTCCTAGTGATGATACTCTTATACTTGTGAGTTTTTCTTTTTCATGTAAAACCTACATAGCATTAATACAACTCTTATAATATTGTCCTATTGGTGTATTTAAGTAATTTGAACCTTTGGGGAAATTGAAAGATGTTTTTCTTTCTGTTTTTTTTCTCTTTTGAGAACAATAATTATCCATGTTGTCAGATGGCTGAAATCACCCATATAGATTAGTAAGGCATTTCCAGAACATGGTTTGTGCTTGTACATATGAATTGAATGGCTCCCCTGGGGAAATGTTACATTCAGAATCCTTTTTTTGGTGGGTGGTGGTAGAAGGTTCATGTCCTGAAGTCAGGAGGAGGGTAAACTAAAGTGGGTCAAGGATTTTAACCCAGGATCAAATAGTCCCTGTTAGGTCCTGGTGCTACTTGGCCCTTGGGCTGTTGAAATAAGAATTTAGTAGATGCTTTGTAGTCGAAACTTGATATATTTAGAGCTCTTTCCATGTCAAAGTATTGCACTACACCATTATTATACTAAGGGCATGTTTGTTTTACACTAGTAATTGATTTCCCATATTGTGCATGCATTCCAATGCAAAATTTGTGGCTGGTATTAATTTGGCCACAAATACCAATTACATTCAACAGTTCAAAATCAATTCTATTCATTTTTAAAACAAATGGACACTCAAACTTCTGAAGGCTAGTAGTGCAAATAATCTTGATCTGTATCGAAAGGTTTATGCCAAAACTTTCTGCCTTTCATATTATTTTATGATCTATTTGAATAAACTTTTCCATAAATATTTATTAGAGAAGAAAATAAAAAGGTAAAATGAACTTTTTTCGTAAGTTAAAATAAACTTATGCAACTCATCTTTTAAGAAAGTTATGAATTTCTATAATAGGTAAGTGCATAAGTTGATTTTAACTTATGGAAAAACAAAACTAAATTCATTTTACTTTTTGATTTTCTTCGTGTATAGAGAGATCTTTATCCAAATTGAACCTATGTTAATGTTTCAGTTTTGCTGGTAAGGTTTATTACAAAAGTTCTGTAGTTAATTCCTAACCTTTATTATCACCTGCATTTCAGGTGTGTGGACCCCCTGGGATGGTAAAACAAATATCTGGAGAAAAGGCCAAGGACTGGACACAAGGAGAGGTATGAAATTAATTTGTGTGGTGTGTCTGGTTTTATTTCCTGGGTCCCCGTAATGATGCACTTTACTGTTGATTTGCTGCAGCTTTCTGGCATCCTAAAAGAGGCTGGATACACTGAACAAATGGTTTACAAATTCTGAGAAACTTATGTTTCTTGCATCTGAAGCTAGCATGCCAAGCACTTGTCGCTGCAGAGTTCGTGTACTGAAATGGTTTTTCGAAGAATAACAGTTGACTGCAGTTGAAAGTTAGAACATGAAATAAATCTAGAATTACAGAACAAAGAGAATGATTGATTGTGTGGTCTTGTATTTTCAAATTTTTTTTGATATTTAATCATGCGGTTGTCTAGCATGGATGTCAATAAAGGGCATCTCGTGGGGGTAAATTTACTTCTCCCACCCTATTTTCTAACATTTTCCTAAAGAGTAAATTATAGCATCCTGAAAGGTTTAGTGCATTTCTTTTTAAAGTTTTTCATAAATTTTATAGTATTATAATTATTATGCAAGGTTTTTGAAAAGAAAAACTGAAAATAAAAAGAAATAGTTATTTGTAGTGTTATTCTCAGAAAAAGTTCTACAAATGAAATGTTTGAATACGTTCTGAAATAGGGTTATACCGTATTTTTTGAACAAATGGACAATTTAACGGGGGACAGGAGAAATTATGCCTAACAAAGTCTCAACATTGTCTACATTAGTGCAATTAAGACATTTTCAAGAAATAAATGACATATTTAGCTTTCACAAAAAAAAAACGACATATTTAGCCTTTTATTTTGAATTATATAAATGTTATCATAGATAAATGTCTTTATAGCAGTTATTTATTTATTTATTTTTGTGATTTTTTAATTATCTTAATTCAAAAACTTAAAATTTTATTTATTTATTCTTTTTACTTCACTTCTTTCTTAAAAGCTTCGATTGTCGAGATTAAACATCAATCTTATAAAAAGAATTGGAGTATATGTATATATTTCAACAGCTGTTTTTTATTTTTTTTTAAGTCTTAAAGTCTGTTTAGATAATAAGCAATTAACGAGAGATTTTTTACTAAAAAATATTTTTTAATATATATATATATATATATATAATATTATTTTAAGTTATATGCAAACATCTTGTATCGACAAACTCCTAAACCAATTTAAGTTTAAAAGCAAACTGCAGGGTGTGATCCCAAAGATCAAAATTTAAGTGCAATCTGCAGGATCTGATTTCGAAGATCGGCATTCAATCAGTGGTAGACCGAATCAACTCCAGTTACCATCAGTTCAAAAAAAAATTTAAGGCAAGCCAGGGTGGTGTTTTGTATCCCATTTTGTTTCGTTATTTCGCGGCTTCAAAGAACAAAGTCACACCCATATCTGCTCTGCTCCATATATCTACACTTCTTTCTGAACCACAGAGCTTTGACCTCTCCTCAACTACATTCCATTTCCACATTTGCTTTCTTTTCATCCTGCTTTCTTAAACTAATTAAATAATATGATTAATCAAAATTAAAAAATTGAAAAGCAGTGTTAAAAGAAAATTCGTTCAATGGGGTTGCTTTTGTCATTCCCCGATCATTGATGCTCATGCATCGACTTCCACATATATGGTTTTGGAAAGAAACTAACAAAAGATTGAAAGTAAAAAATATAGAAAATATATTTTTTAAGTTAGTCGGTGGAGGAAAAAAATTCCCCGCTGATTAGAAGGTGAATATATATAATAACATTCATATTTAAAATAAGAGGAGAGATTATTTTTTTTAATAGTATATTTATTTAAATTTATTTCATTTAATAATTTATATTGTATATTAAATTTTAACGATTTAATTGTTAAATTTAAATTTTTGAATATATGAATCAAATTTATAATTTTTTAAAAAATTAAATTTAATATTTTATTTAATTAATTTAAATAGATAGATAATTATAAAATATTTTATACATTAATTTAAATTAATAAAAATAAGTATCAAATAATTTTAAATTTTTTAAAATTTTATAAATTTAATTTATACATTAAGATTTACGTTAATTTGAATTAATCATAAAATATGATATAAATAAGACTATTTTTATCATTAGCACAATTCCAAACATTTTATCTTTCCTTTGATCATCGTCTCCTAATATACTTTTCCTTTCCTCAATCTATCTCTCAATTTTCAATAAAACCAAACAAACCAATTTAATTCAACAAAAGGGGACGAAGAGAGGTTTCATGTATTTGTTAGTAAATATAAAATACAGTTTTATGAAAATTTTCAATAAATACATAATAAGTAATACTACGAGGTTTCAGTAATCTTTTATTAATAAATTAAATAATAATAATTTTTAATTAATAATAAATACGGTTTTTCTATAGAAAAAATTGAAGAAACAATAGTTCCAATTGACAAAGAAATTATATATAAAAATATAGTTTATCTTTAAATATAAATTAATTAATATTATAATAATATTAAAATTTAATTTACCTAAAAATATTATTCTCTATATATAAAAATTAGAAAATTCATATTGTACGACAGTAATTTTATAAATTATTATCCAACGAATGTAATTTTAGAAGCATTTCTTTGTATAATTTTTTCTTATAATTTCTTATTTATTTCAATTTTATTTTTAAATTAAATTTTAATATTTTAAAATAAATGATCAATAATTAAAAAAATTACATCACGATATAAATTATTTATTATAAGTATAAAATATTAAATTGTAAATATATGGTTGTGATACTAATAATAAAAAAAAAGTCTTGGTAACTCGAAATAATAAATAATAGAGCGGGCTCATAATGGGTTTGGAGCCCATAGGTTTGAAGCCCAAGAAAGAATGGCACCTTGGTTGTTTGTCCACACTGAAATGAACGAAATCGTTCTCTTTCGGCATGCGAGTGCCATCCATCTTCATTCTTCACATTCACATCATCTGAGACCGAAATTGGAACGTCGATGGAATCTTGATCCCTTATTCTTCCATAAATCCCTTTTCACTCTCCCAACATGGACGAAGATTCGTTGAAGCGCAGCACCGATTGCGTTTATTTTTTGGCCTCTCCACTCACTTGCAAGAAGGTTCTCTTTCTCCCTTCATTAATACCTTTTTTTTCTTTCTCTGCATTCGCTCGTCCTTTTGCAATGCCGTTTCATATCCCTTCTATTGTCGTAAACCTAACTTTTGTTTCCATTTTCGATTAAACAATGCTTGGTGTTCTGGACTTTATGTGACTCTTCTGTTGGTGATTGCTGTTGTTTTTTATCTTTAGATTTTATACATTTCGCGCTTTGTTTCCAGGGGGCTGAATGTGAGTATCGCCACAATGAGATTGCGAGGCTAAACCCTAGGGATTGCTGGTACTGGCTATCTGGGCAATGCCTTAATCCAACGTGTGCTTTTAGACACCCTGTGAGTTCTTTACTTTTTACTTGCTTGTTATTAATTGGAGGCTCGCATTTGCGCCTTTCAAATTTGCAGTGGAATGCATAACTGAAACTGTAATGTTTTTCTCGGTTTGATAGTCTTGTTGTCACTTGTGTGGTTGAGTAGTTGTTTCTGTGGCGAAATTGTTTTAAGATTAGGGTTGCTGAAACCTGTTGACTATTTTTCAATTATATGCTGAATAGAGGATATTTTCATGTTAAACCATTATAAATACCGGCATTATGTGGCTGAAGCTAGCTTGTAATAGCAGCCAGCTCAAATATTATGGTAGCTCTCATGCAAGATCAAAAGCACAGTGGGTGAGTGGGGGTATTATATGACAAAAATATATTTTTTTCTGGTCATTGTGTAATGTTTCTTAAAATATCATATTGAATGCCTTGATGTATGTTCGTAGTCCACCTGAGCATGATGTATACAGTGTCTTGCTTAATTTGTCTCGTTTTGCTCTGGAAATAGCTTATGATGAGATGCAAGATTGTGCATATGCTGTGTTATATGTTATTTTATATGTACATTTTATCCGCATAACAATGTAAAATTTTTGGTCATTTGTAACATTATTGTGGTGTTTTCTCAACATATCAAATTGAAAGGCACGATATCATATTAGCATCACCATGTTTAGAATAATGGGTTGTATTTTCTGCATGTCTTGAATTATATCTACTGTTCACCCTGAGAATGGGATAAACGGTTTTTTTTTTCCCCTTAATTTGTCTATTGTTTTGCTAAATTATTTACTACTGTGTTACCTTTATAGTTGGCTTTTTGATTTGGGTTTCTTTCTTAGAAAAAAATTATTTTACTTGGTTGAATAAATTTGATAGTTAAAACTATCAAACGTATTAACAGGCACATTAGTTCACTGCATTATTAATATACAGGGAAAATTTGTTTTATCTCTTTTTTACACCCCCCCTCCCCCTCTTGTATCTGATATCTATTTTGTTTTATTTTCTCTTGTTTGACTGTAATCTGACTGTCTGCTCAGTGGTTTACCTCTAATCACTTTCAACTAATTTTTATCATTTTCTCAGCCATTGGATGGTCATACTGGAGTGCCAGTGCCATCTGAACCTACGCCAACTTCATTACCTGCAAACAAGACAATGGTTCCCTGTTATTTTTTCTTCAATGGATTTTGCAATAAAGGTGATAGATGCTCATTTTTGCATGGGCCTGAAGATAGCATTTTTACTGTAAAACCTGTGAAGAATGACAATGGAAGCACTAATGCACTCAACCTAGAAAATAAAACATCATCAGGAAATAGAACAGGTACAGCGTCAATACCTATTGACCAATCTTTAACTGCTCCAAAGAATTTGTCTGATTCTAAGCTTCAGCCTAAGGAAAATCTTCAGCTACAATTACCCAAAAATGTCAAGCAGCAAGGCAATTGCGTAGAGTTATCTGCTTTAGAATATAAAGAAGCTGCTGTGAGTAGGTCAGACTCTCCGTTTCCAGATGATGGCTTTGTTCATAATGTATCTCATTTATGCACTGAGCAGAGTTCAGAGGAGCAAGTAAATAGTCACATAGAGCCTGAGGAGCGGTGGGAATCATCCCCTCATTCCCCTGGATTTGATGTTCTTGTTCATGATGAATTGGAGAACATGGGTTACGAGGAAGACTCTGAATATTTACCAGTGCTTGATAGGGATGAGCAAGAGCTGAATGAGCAGTACTTGGGGTATGAATTTAAAGAGCCAGTTGAGTATGATACTATGTGCCCAGAAGCTGATATTCTGTATGAACAGGAAACATATGATGGTTACAGATGTTTGGATAGGGATCTTACTCATGCTAATGGAAGAGCAGTTCATGCTTATTCCAGAGATATATTCTTAGATTCTTTATTGTCCAGGAAAAGGATTCGGATGTCAGCTGAGATGGCTGCTTATGACCAGAAGTTAGATCTACGTGACCATCTGAGGAGACGTAGAGAAATTAATGGTCCTCCTGTTACAGGTTTCTTAAGGCAAGAATCACCTTCTTTGATGGTTCGAAACCAGGAAAGGCATCAGAGGCATGATATTGAGCAGCGGCCAAGTAGAAGATTGACGTCACAATTGGGATATAATGCCATAGATTCGATTGGAGAGGTTGAAAATCTTTCAATTGCTAACAAGCACAAGTTATTCAGGCCTTCCCAGCAAAATAGACCAAGGAAGCATTATAGAGAAAAACTAACTAAACGGCCGTTTCTTTCATCTAAAATATCCAGGAAACCAGTTTTAAGACAACGGGGATTTATTCACGAGTCCACTACATTTTCAGGACCCAAGACTCTTGCAGAAATTAAAGAAGAGAAGAAGAAGGCTGAAGAAAGTTTACATTGTAAAAGCACATCAACTGATTTCCAGGATCCCAAACCTCTGAGTGAAATTCTCAAGGACAAAAGGACCATGGATCAGTGAGACATGGCAAAACATGCAACAATTGAATTATGAGATTAAAGTGACTAATGATTTCAAGAGACTAATATTTTTACCGGAGATAAAGGATAAATTTGAGTGATGGCGGTGCTTTTTTTTGCATCCTTTCCGTGCTAGGTACAATGACCCCTGTTATTGCCATTGGTAGACAATGATAAAGTTTTTGTTCGAGTGAGTGGAAGAAGGTTATGCGGGTCCGAGACGGATAAGATAGATATTAGACAACCAGTGTTTTGACTAGAAAATTTATCTTCTGTAGTTAGTTGATTCGGACCGAGACGTCTTAATCTGGAGTGGATTGCTGATTTACATGAATTTTATCTGTGATTTTGGCCTACATGTTTTTCTGTACAGAGCTGCTTAAAATACTCCCTGCTATATCTTGGTTTGGACAATGCTTTTGGTATATTATGGTATTAACTGTCCCAACATTCTGGATTTTGACAATGATAATTGCTATGCATAGAGAAATATAGGGATATGAAAAACTTAACTTCTATCATACATTGGTATACGTGGTTTTTATTTTTGAATTTGATTATTGTTGCATTGATGCTATTTTTAGATTCACATGAAAAATCCAATTATTTATGAGGGCATCTGTTTGTTTTTGGAGTAAGTCTACTTAGACTTATTCCGTTCAATAACTCATATTTTATATTAAATTTTAACGATTTAATTGTTGAATTTAAAGTTCTTAATACATAGATCAAGTTGCAAATTTTTAAAAAATTTAAAAATTGTTTAATATTTTATTTCAAAATTTTTAAAAATTTATAAATTTGATCTATGTATTAAGAATTTTAAATTTAATAATTGTATCATTGCAATTTAATATAAAACATGAGTTACTGAATGGAATAAATATAAGTAGACTTATTTCTTGAATAAATGAGTCTTTTCTCGTTATTTAATGCATTAAAAATGTCTAGAAATGAAACATTTTTTTTTGCCACCCAATAACTAGGGTT